TTATATATATGTGTGTGTGTGTGTGTGTGTGTGTGTGTGTGTGTGTGTGTGTGTGTGTGTGTGTGTGTGTGTGTGTGTGTGTGTGTGTGTATTAAACTGTCATTTCTTAAACCAACAAATATTTTTAAATGTTTTTAAACGTTTATTCTTTATTAACTTTACATTGTACAACTCATTGTAGAAATAATATTTATTTAATGTTTATTAAATATTTATTTAACATTAATTCATAAACATTATTCATTTAAATGATTTGAAGAAAACATTCCCTTAAGTTTTACTTAACGTTTACATTGATTATTTACACTATCCAAAGATAATTTCCTATATTATATTAACATTTTTAAAAACATTTTTTTGCTAATTGAGTTAATTTGGTAAATTACATTATCTTAAATACAATAATTTACGATTAAAGCTTTGTAATGAAATATTCGTTAAAATAATTTAAATCCGTCTGAAAATCATTAGAAAATTATGGTGGCTGAAGAATATGATTATACATTCTTTGATAATCAAAGAAAATAAGTGACACGTACACAGAGAATTCAGAATGGCAACCATGTTTTATTGTGCAGTCTGGCACGTGAACACAGTGATATATGATATATATTGCTGTGTTTCACAAAATAGAAAAAAAGAAAAAAATGGCTTGTTGTTGTTAAAAAAAAACAACGATATTCCGCGCTGTGTTGCCGAACAAGTACTTGTAAAGAGAAGAAATATGAGCGTGAGTATCTCTTTTTTCTCTTTTCCCTTTTTCTCTCTCTCAGAGATGATAATTTTTATATTCGTAGGCATCTACCGGTAGAGCGTTCACCAAACCGAGCGCCTCGTCATCGTGTAGAGAAGCTGGGTGGTGTGCTGCTGCAGCTGCAGCTGCAGTATTAGCCGCATGCGCGGCTGCGGCCGCGGCATTGTTTTGCGCGGCTTGTGCAGCGTTTGCGGCTTTTTGTGCGGCCGCTTGCGTAGTCTCGAAGTCTAAACGTGCTGCCGCGAGCTGCTCGGCGATCGTTTCGGCTCGCGCTTTAGCCTGGCCCACCATCGTTGTCTGCGCTGCCAGCTCAGCTGCAGCCTCCGATGCAGCTTGTGCAGCATGTTCGGCGGTTGCTTGAGCCGCGTTCAACGCCGTGGTAATCACTTGCACTTGGTGCATCGCTTGTTGCGCTGCATTTTTTGCAGCTGCAGCCGCCCGCTGAGCCTGTTGCAATTGTTGCTTTTCTCCGTCTACTGCGACTTGCGCGTCTCTCGATTGTTGTTCTAGACCCATCACTATAATCTGTTTGCCGGCTAAAGCTGCAGCAGCTGTCGCCGCGGATTGTGCTGCCGCTTGAGCCAGAGTATTTTTAGCTACATATGCTGCTTGTCCAGCAGCGGATGGTTGCTGATTTAATTGTGTGTTAGCTTGATCAGCGGCTCCTATAATCATTACATAAATATAATAGTATAATACCAAACAAGATGATTTGATATCTTATCCCTCCCCTCTCTCTCTCTCT